AAAGAAAAATCACTACAAATATTTAAACGTTATTAAATCTAGATACATTTACTTTAGAAGTAAAAGGATTAATAAATAAACTATACTAAATACACTTAAGAACAAGATTATTTTTCTTAGCCAACTGGCATATGACAACATGTTTGTCACATTTTTTCTCTGAATTTTTCTGAAATTAAAAATAATAATAAATACAATAAAAAAAATCTGTTGTATAAAAAGTTTAGAATAAAAAGTTTTTTACTGGGAGAAAAAGTCAGATTATTGAAATCAATTTGGTCTATTAAATATTAAGTTTTGTTTTCTGAAAAATGCATGACAATTTTTGCTTTAAAAAATGCAGTAAGAAAAAAAACTTAAAAGGAAAAATTTGTGAACCCCACTGACAGATTTTTTAAGCATAAACTCACTTCATTTTCATGCATTTTCCAGAAAACAAGATTTATTTTTCTTCTCAAGTAAATGTATTTTGATTTAAGATTTTTTTTTAGATATTTGTATTAGAAAACAGGATAAAAATACTAAGTAAGGAAATGATTTTTTGCAGATTTTGGGCATGAATTGCACTCACAGATGGGACGAGACCAGATGTTTATTATTGCTTTCATTTATCAGATTATGTCACAGCCAGAAAATAAAGTGAAATATACAGCTCGGCTTGTGGAGATCTAGTTTACTTGCTATCTGCCCGGCGAGATGGGGGAATTGCATGGTGCAAATTGGCAGTAAATGGGCCGCCTGAGACTGTTTAACAGCATTACATCGGGTTGCTGTCGTCTGTGTTTCAGGTGGACATGTTCTCGTACGGCATGGTCCTGTATGAGCTGCTGTCCGGCCGCAGACCGTGCATGGGTCAGCACCAGCTGCAGATCGCTAAGAAGCTGTCGAAAGGGCTCAGACCGGCGCTGGGCAGCCCAGAGGAGGTGCAGTTTCACTGCCTGCAGGCGCTGATGCAGGAGTGCTGGGACACCAAACCAGAGAAGGTACAACACACGCCTGACTTTTAATAAAGATGCATTCACAAGTCTTTTGCATAAAGTTAAATTTAACTTCGTCACACCATTATTGGTTGCTGTTGCTCATTGAAAATGAATCATTTATGGTGGTGTTCCTGTAGCATGAACAGTAGAGCAGTGTATTAGCAATGCCGAGGTTATGGGTTCGAATCCCAGGGAATGCATGAACTGAGAAAATGTGAATTTTGAATGCATTGTAAGTTGCATTGGTTAAAAGCGTTTGCCAAATGCAAAAATATACATGTCATGAAAAATAGTTGTCAATGTGAACACCCCATAATTTTAAGTTAATTGCACAGAGAAAACTAGTTCTAACTAGTTGGGTTGGCTAGGGATGATGTCCAAAAGTTGAATATTGTATATTTACTTGGAAAAAAAGTCAAATTACTGAAGTCAAATCTATTTTAAATGGTTTCTGTTGTGGACTTTAATGGCAAAAAATAGTGGTGAAAGATCAAGAAAGCTCATCTTTTAAAGCAACAAAGCTGTATTTATATTTATATAGAATATACACTACTGTTCAACTGTTCAACACTACTGTACTTTTTTCGGGTAGGATGAATTAAATTGATCAAAAGTGACAGTGAAGACTTTTATAATGTTACAAAAGGTTTAATTTTTTTAATAAATGCTGTTTTTAACTCTTTATTCATCAAATAATCCTTAAAAAAATCACAGTTTGAAGCAGCACAACTTTTCAACATTGATAATAATCAGAAATGTTTCTTGAGCAGCAAATCAGCATATTATTATGATTTCTGAAGGATCATGTGACACTGAAGACTGGAGTAATGATGCTGAAAATTCAGCTTTGAGCACAGAAATAAATTACATTTTAAAATACATTCACATAGAAAACAGGTATTTTAAATTGTAATAATATTTCACTGTTTGACTGTATTTTTGATCAAATAAATGCAGCCTTGGTGAGCAGAAGAGACATTAATAAAAAGTCTTACCATCCCCAATCTTTTGAGCTGTAATGTATGTTAAAACAGACGTAAACCAGAGACAAAAATAGTCACGTAGGCACGTTTTAGCTGCAGATGTTGTGAAGTAAAGCATGTGTCTAATAGTGTCCTGTCCTGCGGTGTCTGTAGCGTCCCCTGGCCGCTCCTCTCATGAGACAGATGCAGGATCCCAGTTTTCCTTGTCTGAGGTACCTGCTGCCCTGCCAGGAACACAGCCAGCTCTTCTTGTCTCCGCTGCAGGGACACAACGCCGTCTTCTGGGATGGAGACAAAGACGACAGGTGCGCTTTTGAGAAAGCATCGTGCTTTTCTTGCATGTTCACGTGGCTTTCTTGTGAAGTTGTGCTGCTATCATGACGGTTTGTACGTCTGTGACGTGTTTGCAATGTTTGATTTTGTGGCTCTGTTCCAAAAACCTGATAAGCCTACTTGCTGTCTGTTGTCTACATAGGCAGCTGTCTTCTGTAATACTCATAAATGGCTCTGGATGATTTGTATCACTCTACATAGGTGGTTCCAATTGATTTCAATAGAGCAGGTAAACTAATGACTTAATACTGTACACACAAATATTGGGGAAAGTAGTCAACTCATAATAACATTCAGCATTCTTTATAGACACTTTTAGGGAATGAGTTTTAAGCATATTTATAGTTAATTTACATGTCTCTTGCTTAATTCAAGTGTTTATTTATTTAGTATTTTTATACAGTATTATAGTATTTATTAATATGATTTAGCTTGTCATTTTTATATTTCCATTTTTAATTTTAGTTTTAGGGTTATTTTTCTATTTCATATTTATATAAAAAATATACCAATACAATATCAATATTGTATAAATATTTATTTTTAGTTCAGCTTTAGTTTTAGTATTTTTAGTATTTAGTCTTTTTTTTCAGTTAGTTTTCAAGTCACCATTTCACATTTTTGATATTTTTATCTTTTTTTTATTTTAGCTTACTTTCAGTTAACGAAAATGCATTTTAATGGCATATTTATTTACTAGTTTTATTAATATTTTGAATTAGCTTTTATTCTTGTATTTTCCCTTTTTTTTTAGTTTTTGCTTTTTTAAATATTTCTATTTTGCTTTATTTTCATTTCAGTTTTTGTTTTAGTAATTGTAATACTTTAACTTATTTCAGTTAGTTTCCAAAGCACATTTCCTATTTTTTATAAGTAATTTTTTTTATTCTTTTTTTTTTCTTCATTTTAGCTTAATTTCAGTTTAACGCCATATCTATGTACTAGTTTTATTAATATTTTGAATTAGCTTTTATTCTTGTATTTTCCCTTTTTTTTTAGTTTTTGCTTTTTTAAATATTTCTATTTTGCTTTATTTTCATTTCAGTTTTTGTTTTAGTAATTGTAATACTTTAACTTATTTCAGTTAGTTTCCAAAGCAACATTTCTAATTTTTATAAGTAATTTTTTTTATTCTTTTTTTTTTCTTCATTTTAGCTTAATTTCAGTTTAACGCCATATCTATGTACTAGTTTTATTAATATTTTGAATTAGCTTTTATTTTTATATTTTCCATTTTCTTTTTAATTCAGTTCTTAGTAATTCTGTTGTTTTTGTCATTTTTATTATTTTTAATTAGATTTCAAGGCAACATTCACTTACAACTTTAAGTTAAATGATTTAATAAATTTTTTCATCCATATCAGCTTAATTGCAGTGAACAAAAACTAATTTTAGTGGTTTTGGTTTTAGTTACCAATAACGGCACTACTGCATGTGATACACGTGTGCCTGTGACTCCTTAAAATGCTGTCTATGTAGGCAGCTCACTAGGTTTTGGAACAGAGCCCGAGTCTTTATCAGTAATGAGGCCGAAAGGCCAAAGAAAATGAAGTATCTCAAAGTACCAGGTTTGCACTTTACAGAAATCACAAGCCCCACACCAGCCCGTAATCTCCCCTTTCACTCCATTTCCCTCATTTAAACGCTCTCCCGTTTTTCTATTTACCGCCAATTGCTCCCCTTCAGACCTCTGGCTCACTCATATAAACACCCTCATTAAAATCATTCAGGAATCTCATTTTTCCAGCTTCCCTTGACGCTCTCAAGCCTCCTTTAAAAAAAATGACTCATTTGAATATTCATGAGCACGTATATAAGAGCTCATTATTATGCACGACGGCCTCCACCAGGCTGATAAATGCCCCGTGATCTACAGCCAGGCTCATCTGATCATCGGCTGCTTTGTTTGCTGGCACTTAATCCTACAAGACGCTTCAACGAAACGCTCCGCTTTTATCTCACGGCGCAGGTGTTTGCATTTACCAGCGATGCCCATTGGCCTGCCTAATGTCTGTTAATACGTCATCACCAGCAGCACAATGAAGGCTTTGTCTCGCATTAATCATAATATTAGCTTGTGCCTCCTACCTAGTGCCCTAAGACGACCGTGAGTGCTTACAACTAAAGCCAGTATGCTTTGAGACTGTTAAGGAACAGCGGGAAACACCTAGGAATATCAGAGATTTTTAAAATTGTGATTTCCAAGTCATAGGAATTTGTAAAATTATTATATAGTGTATTATGTAATGTATATAATGTAACTGATTATAGACATTACTTGTCAAAAATTTGGAGTCAGTAAGATTTTATTTTTTGAAAGCAAAATACAGTATAGACTTTACAATGATGCAGTAAACTGATCAAAAGGGACAGTAAAGACATTTATAATGTTACAAAAGATTAATATTTCATATAAATGATGTTCTTTTGAACTTTCTATTCATCAAATATCCTGTAAAAAAATGTATCATAGTTTCCACAAAAATATTAAGCAACTGTTTTCACTGAAGACTGGAGTAATGATGCTGAAAATTCAGCTTTGCATAACAGGAATAAATTACGTTTTAAAAATATATTGCAATAGAAAACAGTTATTTTAAATTGGAAAAAAATATTCCACAATATTGTTGTTTTTACTGTATTTTTGATTAAATAAATTCAGCTTTGGTGAGCATTTTCATTTTTATTTATTTTTCTTGTTTTTGTTTTTTCTTTCTTTCTTTTTTTAATCTAAATTTCAGTTAACAAAAACAAATATTAATGCCATATTTATATAATAGTTGTATTCATATTGTGAATTAGCTTTTAATTTTTATATTTTTGTGTGTGTTTGTTTTTTTATATTTATATTTTGCTTTATTTTTTATTTCATTTTGAGTTTTAGTAATTTTAGTACTTAAACCTAAACATATTTTATTTCAGGCAACATTTCCAATTATTGTACTTTTTTATGTAGAAAAAAAAATCCTTATCCTGTAATCACAACCAACTGGAGCGGTCATGAAAACTGATTGGTAAAAAAGAGAGGTTTAAAATGGTTTTAGTTGGTTTCATTTGATCTCTCATCTTTGTGAAGCAGCCTGACCAGCTAAAAAGTGCCAAAAACTGCCTAAAAATGACCGGACTGGGAGACCAAACTAATGTTTTTCTGGTCTTAATTGGTTTAAATTGGTCTCCCATCCTGGCCGAGCTGGTGTTTAGCTGAAAAGTGCCCAAAACCCCTTTAAAACCAGCGAATAGGCTTTCTAACAAAACTAATTCAGGCTGGTTTAAGCTATTTTCTTTTCAGCAGGGAAGCAAACAAGACATCAAATAATTGGCACAAAGCAGGCAGTAAAAGCTCGATGTGGGATTTGCGATCTGATGGCCCCCTTGATCATCGGATGGCCTACCAGCAATATCCTGTAAATTATATTTTAAGTACATTAGTGTGAGGTCGGCCCGAATCGCTTTATCACCGCAGTATTTATTTGTCCAAGTTTGACGTTGCCAATTAGATTATTGGGGCTTCATAAGCAAAAAGGAAAAAACTGAAAGCAAAATAAACAGCTTACTAGGGTATTTGGATCAGAAGCGTCCATAGTTTGTGACGGATTGAATCATTTGTGTGCTGTCACAGCGCACCGTCAGATAAATGACTCCGCTGATCAAGTAATGAATCACTGTTCAGCAAATGAATTAGCAGAACATATAAACCTACAAACCAGCCCACACTGCTGAGAGTATGCTCCTGCATAACAGCGCAATGTATAATACATGTTTAGATTAAAGACACGTCATAAATCATGCGCTGCTCTGAAATCATTTGGGTTTGTACCACATACTGTGTTTCTACAAAAGAACAAACCCGCCAGGAGTAACAATACTTGTGTGTATTAGTGGCGTCACACGTCATTATTACTGTTGGAAATATAAAGACATTTTAAAAGTAATATTTCTAGGACTCAATTTTAGTTTTATATTTTAATTGCATTTTTAGTAATTTTGTTATGTGCTTTTCTCCATTTTATTAGTGTTTTTTAATTATTATTATTATTATTTCAGTTTCAGTTTTAGTTCTGTTTTTGTTTTTATTTTCAGTTTGTAATTTTAGTGCTTCAGCTTAAACTTATTTCATTTAGGTGGCATTTCTAATTTTAATTTAAGTTTTTAATCTAACCCTTAGAAAATCATCACTCACATTTTCTTCACATTTTTTTTTTTTTTTTATATTTAGGTTTAATTTATTTTTATTTCAGTTTAGTTTAGTGTTTCAAGACAATTTTTTGTTTAGTTTTTAAGTCTAATATTTATATTATTTCAGCTTTAATTACATTAACAAAAATGTTTTTAATTGTTTTATTTTTACTAAACAATAATAACCCCAAGAAAAGCACCACTCACATTTTCTTCACATTTATTATTATTATTACTTTTTATTTAAGTTTTAGTCTTTATTTATTTCCCGTTTGGTTTTAAATTTTAGTGCTTTGACTTAAACCTCGGTTAAAAATTTCAGTTAGTTGACAAAGCAATATTTATCATTTTTGTTTAGTTTCACGTTTCAAGTTTCTAACATTCAACATTTAAGTTTCTAAAAGTATAACGTTTATATTTTAATTTATTTATTTTTATATTTATTAATTTATTTATTTATTTTCAGCTTTATTTTCCATTTACAAAAATGTTTTTAATAGTTTTAGTAATGATGATAACCCAGAGAAAAGCATCACCTAGATTGAATTTCATAACTGCTGTGTTCCACAGACACATAAAAGGGTTTTCTTTGTGTTTGTCTGTGTCTGTGTCTGTGGTCGTGTGTCTGTCTGTGTGTTTGTCTGTGTGTTTGTCTGTATGTGTGTGTGTGTGTGTGTCCTGCAGGAATTACACGGTGGTAAACTTGGCCAAGGGGCAGGTGGAGGTGAAGCGGATGCCGTGTCCGGGAACACGTCTGAGCTGCCAAATGAAGATGGAGAACAGTTTGTGGACAGCCACTGAGGTGTGTTGAGCTGTCAGTCACAACAACATTATCAGAGAAACAACTAATGGATAAACGCAGAGGGCATTCGCTTCTCACAGTAAAGGAGATTGTTGTAACTTGGTGTCAAACCAAATGTTTGTTGCACAAGTTTTGTGTGTAATTTATCCACCATTAGCAGAATAGCAGAAATAATGACCATTTTCAGACAGGTTTCCTGAACAAACAGATGTTTGTGCCCCAAACTCAAAAACGGTGAGGTTTTGATGAGGTTTCATCACGTATTCACTACCGTTCAAAAGTTCTATTATTTTTCTATTTAAGGAATTATTATTTTTAGGGATGCATTAAATTAGTCAGAAATGTCAGTAAAGACATTTATAATATTACAAAATATATATATTTTTTTTAATAAATACTTAAAGAATGACTTGTCAAAGAATCCTGAAAAAAAAAATTATTGTGTGTCTGCAGGAACAGGAAGTCTTTATCTACAGCCTGAAAGAGATGTGTCCCTTGAGTCACCCGCAGAAACTGCTCTCCTGTCCGGCTGTGGTAACCTGTCTCTTTTTACTGCCCACCAGGAAAGAGGTCAGTGCCCCGGCTTGCAGTCTTTGCCATGTAAACTACGCTTATGTTGATGATGTTCTTGTATGTTTGTTTGTGTCTTGGTTTAGATATCCAAAGTTTTAAAAATATATATATATTTAAAAAATCTTAATTTAAATCTTCTTTAAAATTAAAGAAATAGTTCATCCAAAAATGAAAATTTGCTGAAAATGTACTCGCCCTGAAGAGATCCAAGATGTATTTTGTTTCTAAATGGCAACAGATTTGGAGAAATGTAGCATTAAATCACTTGCTCAGCAATAGATGCTCTGCAGTGAATGGGTGCCGTCAGAATGAGAGTCCAAACAGCTGATAAAAACATCACAATAATCCACAAGTAATCCACACCACTCCAGTCCATCAGTTAATGTCTTGTGAAAAGAAAAGCTGCATGTTTGTAAGAAACAAATCCACCATTACGGTACTTTAAACTTTTGCTTCTGGTCAAAATATGAGTCCATAATCTATAATAATGTTTCCTCCATTGAAAAAGACTTGCACTTTTAAAAATAAAAGTTTAAAAAGACTTTTAGACTTGCACTCTATTCATTTTCTAACTGCTTGTTTTCTTAAAAAAAAAAAAGCTTCTCTAATCTTTTTGTATTCTATCTATTTGTTTTCTTTTATTTATTATACAATTAACAAAAGCAAAAATTCTTTTGGGAATAGTTCACCCAAAAATTAAAATTGACTGAAAATGTAATCTTAATCTCTCTGAACATCCAAGATGTAGATGAGTTTGTTTCTTCATCAGATTTGGAGAAGTGTAGCATTACGTCACTTGCTCAGCAATGGATGCTCTGCAGTGAATGGGTGCCGTCAGAATGAGAGTCCAAACAGCTGATAAAAACATCACAATAATCCACAAGTAATCCACACCACTCCAGTCCATCAGTTAATGTCTTGTGAAAAGAAAAGCTGCATGTTTGTAAGAAACAAATCCACCATTACGGTACTTTAAACTTTTGCTTCTGGTCAAAATATGAGTCCATAATCTATAATAATGTTTCCTCCATTGAAAAAGACTTGCACTTTTAAAAATAAAAGTTTAAAAAGACTTTTAGACTTTCTCTTTATTCATTTTCTAACTGCTTGTTTTCTTAAAAAAAAAAAAGCTTCTCTAATCTTTTTGTATTCTATCTATTTGTTTTCTTTTATTTATTATACAATTAACAAAAGCAAAAAGGGCCTCTAACACTAGCTTGCTGTAATGTAAATGTAATGTAGATGAAAAAGTCTATCCCCTGTTGTCTCTCACATCAAAATCTGCCCACATTTTTGTTTAGCTGTTTTTGACTGTTTTCATTTATAAAAGGTGCTTGATCTGTGCGTATTTCTCTCCTGATTCAGACGAGATGACTTTTCACTGGAGAAAGCAATATTATGAATAGAGGACTCGTATTTCTGCAACTGCTTAAGTTAAAAACGTCTTAATGATGGATTTGTTTCTTACAAACACACAGCTTTTCACTTCACAAGACATTAACTGATGGACTGGAGTGGTGTGGGTTACTTGTGGATTATTGTGATGTTTTTATCAGCTGTTTGGACTCTCATTCTGACGGCACCCATTCACTGCAGAGCATCCATTGCTGAGCAAGTGACGTAATTCTACACTTCTCCAAATCTAATGAAGAAACAAACTCATCTACATCTTGGATGGCCTGAGGATGAGTAAAATTTCAGCAAAATTAATTTTTTGGTTAAACTATTCCTTTAAGTATTAAAAAACAGATAACAAGTGCCAAAAAAAACAGCAAAGCAGACCAAATTGTTGGCCAGGTAAGAACAGCAGGCTTGATATTTTAGGTAAGTGGGCAGGTTTTTCTCATCAGTTCCTCGCGCGTTTGAAGTCACTGTCGTCCAGGTGTTCCCGATCTCCCTCGCTTCAGCGGACGTCCCAATGACAGATTCAATCCTCGTCGCTCCTCCAAACACATTCTTATACGAGCCTCGCTCCCTTTGAAGTGCCCTCTGTTCCCGCCGTCCGTCCGCTGCGGGTCACTGACAAACTGGATGTCAAAAGCAGTTGAGGAGATCAGGGAAGGAGCACACAGCTGGTTTGGGGCTGTCAGGAAGGTTTCTGGGAGGAAACTCTTTTAGATATGGCACTTGGACAAAAATGCATGTGAAGGCGGACTAAAATATTCAGAGAATAAATGTTGCATATGGTTTGACAGGATGTTGTTTGGTTTTAGTATGACACTGTGCATTTGTGAAGATTCTCCGACATCCAGGCCATTTAGAAGTTAAATACATCAGGATAGATCACAACAGAATTATATATATATATATATATATATATA